TCTTTCTTTTATTCCAAGCCACCTGGTTGTCTCTCATATATTAGCAGTAATGAAATATTCAAACTTGTTATATCTGTGAGACTTTCAGCACTTCTACTACCTCCAGCTTTTCTTTAGTTTCTTTCCACAGTGGCAATTATATTGGCTTTTAATTTAATTTGCTGTATTATAACATAACATAGTTGTTTACAAGATAGAATATAACAGCAGGGATTGAGTACAATGCAGGGGCACAAAGATGATGTGAGGCCTGGAACATCTCCCATATGAGGAAAGACTGAGAGACCTGAGACTGTTCAGACTAAAGAAGAGAAGGATGAGATGGGAATCTCATGATTGTGAACATCTGAAGGAGTCAAGTCAATGGGGGTAGACTCTTTAGTGCCATGCAGTATAGAACAAGGGGCAACAGGCAGAAACTGAAACACAGGAAGTTCCATTCAAACAAACAAACAAAAAAAAACTTTATGGTCAGAGTGACAGAGCACCAGAACAGGCTGCCCAGAGAGGTTGTGGACTATCCTTCTATGGAAATATTCAAGACTTGTCTGGATGCCTTCCTGTGCAACATATTGGAAGGAACCTGCTTTCTCAGGGGTTGAACTTGATCTCTAGAGGTCCTTCCCAGTCCCTATGATTCTGTGGTTGTGTGAATTAAAATGTGTGTATTATTTTTCTTTCCTAATGTAAAAATTTGTTGTATTTTCACATTGTGTAGTTGCATTTCTGTATTGAATTAACTGATACCACATCGGATTAAGTACGGAGTAATACACATGTAAACATATATCTGAAATTAATATATTTTATAAAAACAACCAAACCTTTTGACTTAATGCAAAGAGGGCCTTACAAATCCATGTCAAACTATGGAGAAATCTCTATCATATTTTATGACATATGTTTTGTACATCAGTAAAGTAGGTGACTGAATATCTTCTTACTCATAATAAAGAAGTTTGTCTCGTAGACAAAAGCAAGGATATGTATACAGTTCTAGTATACCCTCTGCAGTGTATTCATAACTTCTGAGATTTTTATTGCCTGAATTTTATCTAAGTAGCTGTTATATAGATTAGAAGTTTTGAAATGTAGCTGAGTGGTGCTAAAGGTTCACAAATTGGACCACACTGGAGAATGAAAGGAAGAAAACAGTTTGTTGCATTTGCTCTTAATAGGGAATGTAAAAATGCTTCCAGTGATTTATAAAATTTTCTTAAACACATGATATAGGATTTTTTATTTGCTTGTTAAATATAGTTCCTCTAGAAAGAGACATACGGAAAATTTCCTGAACTCTAACACACTAGCATTTTGACCCTCTTCAGTATGCATGCTTGCCAGAGGGATCTGCTGTGTGCTGCAGTTTCTGAGAGCTGAAAGGCTTCACACGTACTGCATCCATTATACTCCAGATGTAATCAGCAAACTCACCTCATCTTTCTCCTTTTAATTTCCACCTAGGGACTGTTTCAGTTTTCTCTCTTTTTCTGCTATGTGAGCCCATTAACTTTATTTTCTTTGCTCATATTGTTGTGTTATTCTGGCTTTCATACCACTCTTTTTGAGTTCTATTTCATCCCAATAGTTTTGGTTTCTGACAGAGTAGTTGGTATTTAGAGCCTCTGAAGAAAACTCTGTGCCTCTTAGGGGCATGCAGAGTGTTAGGTTCCTTGAATGATAACTTTGGGCAATTGAGAGAAAATTCTGCTAGGGAACTTAGCTACAAACTATCCCTCCAAATTATTTCACTACCATACACACCTGACAGGTGAGTACATAAGTTCAACTCTGTGCTTCTGTGTACAGGAGACAGGTGTACGTCGAACACACACTTCATTAAGTCATTAAATAAAACCATCCTCACAAGATAACAAAATCAAAGAATGGCTGATGTCAGAAAGGGCCTCTATGGATCATCTTGTTCAACTGCACCTCTTATGCAGGACCATCTAGAGCTAGTTGCTCAGGTCTAGGTCCTGATAACTTTTGAAAATCTCCAAGGAGAGGGACTCCACAACCTCTCTGGGCAGTTGTGCCAGTGTTCAGTCACTCTCAGAATAACTGATTCATGGAGTTGTTTCTCCCTCAGTGTAGGACTTTACATTTCTCCTTGTTATCTTCATGAAGTTCCTGTAAACTCTTTTCTATAGCCTGTTGAGGTCCCTGTGGATAGCAGCACAACCCTCTGGTTTATCTGCTACTTTTCCCAGTTCTATGTTATCTGAAAACTTGCTGAGAGTACACTTCACTCTATCATCCAGAACATTAATGAAGATGTCAAATAGGACTGTACCCAGAATTGATCCTTAGGGTACACTTCTAGCTATTGGCCTCCAAACAGGTTTTGTGCCACTGATTACTACCTTCTGTGTCCTTTCCATTCAGCCAGTTTTCGGTCCCCCTCACTGTTTGCTCATCTGTCCCCTACATCAACAGCTTCTCATCAAAGATCTTCAAGGAGACAGTGTCAAAAGCCTTACTAAGATCTAAGTAGACAATATCTACTGCTTCTCTCATCTGCCATGCCGGTCTTCCATCATAGATTATCAAGCTGGTAAAACATGACTTCTCCTCGGTGAATCCATATTGACTACTCACTGTCTTTTTCTTATCCTTCATGTGCCTGGAAATTGTTTCCAGGACTTGTTGCTCCATCACATTCCCAGGGACTGAACTGAGACTTACAAGCTGTTGTTTAACCAGGCAGCAGCTATGTACCACACAGCTGTTCACTCACTCCTCCCCAGTGGAAATGAAGAGAGAATTGGAAATTATTAGAGGCATCCCAGCATGTTGACAGCCTGACAGGGATTTGGGGGAACATCATTTGGGGGAATAGCGACTTTAAACAGTCAGAGATATTCTTCTTTTATAGAACCAGCATCCTAAATTACATGTAGTAAAGGGTATTCTGTTGCAATGAAAACTTGAACGTTCCTCAGAAAGATTTCTGACTCTAGCCACTATTGCCATTATTGAAGAAAAGTGATTTAAGCAAACCACAGAAATTAGAGTATTAGGCCATTTTCCTCTGAATAGTGAAGAAAAACAATAAATATATATTTGTTTTTTTTGCTTGGTTCTTTAGAGAAATGGAATTACTCTTAAATGTTTGCCTGATTGTTTTCCAAGATCCTTCTAGAAATTCTAAAATAATGAGGTAATATTTATTTGTGATTATATTTATGTCAGTATTTGAATGTGAAATTAGCTAGTCAGTACTTCCCTATGTATTACTCACAGTCATCCAATTGTGTACTCTTTTCTCAGCCAAGAGATTGATGGGTAGTTTACACTTTCTTCCTGTTTCCAAGGGATAGGTTTTTCAAGACAACGATAAGAGATCATTTGGGAAAAAACTGATTTAGGTGACTTTAAATGAGTTTTTCAAGCCACAGATAAATACTCCAAGGAGAATCTTTCTGGAATAATGTAATGTACAGTACTAAAAATGTTTTCACTGACATACTGGATGGTTTTGAATTGCATGTACAGGTAAAAGTGGTGACTTGCTCTTGAACAGCTTAAAACTAGCAAAAGTGATCCATATTCAATGGATACATTCTTTGCTTTGCATCACGCTTAAACAATATTCAGTTTAAACTGATAGGTTCTTGAATGAAGTAATGAATTATAACTTTATTATAAAGAAGCAGGCTTGTGATTGATTTTCTTAATTTTCTTGATTGTCCATAAATTAGCTGGATATCTAAGGTCATTTCATTCCAGAATTTACATTTCTAAGAATATTTTACAATTTCCTAGTTACTTTTATCTTGCTTCTTACATCTGTGTTTTCTCTAGAAAATTGGTCTGTAGAGGTTTTTTTCTAATGAAGTTTTTCATTCTTATTCTCTGTTCTTAAGCATTTCTGTCACCTCTCCTATAAAAGAAAAAGGAGTCATATTAGGAATCTAAAGAAAATGAGAAAAAAAGCACCATCTTTGACATCCTGCCATTTCTGAGGCACATAAGACTGTTGTAAGTCAGCAGTCAGCTCACAGAGTCTGAGAATGGAAATAAGAAGAGTGTTTTCTCACTGCTCTCTGCAGGATCCTCTTTCAGCAGATCAAGGGTCAAATGCATTTACAAAACAGCAAGAGATAAATCTTTCATTGTTTTACTGTATTCCTGAGGAGTATCAACTTTACAGACCCACTTACTGCCCACTTGGAAACCCAAATGCAAAAAAGCTAAACTAAACTAAATAAAAATTAAATTAAAATAAAAAAAAAAGCCTTTCATGTAATTTTGTCTTTGAGACTAATTAAAGTGCATAATGAAATGTGGAAGCAAAAAATTTTCCCTAGTTTCTAGCTGTCTGATGTGTCAGCAGCAGGGGAGGTAATGAATTTCAGGATGGAGCCCAAACTGATGATAGTTTCTGGTAATGCAGGAGTAACATTTTGGCCTTGGAGTGTGGGGAATGCAGGATAAGGCAAACAATTCAGCAGTCTGTTAGCTTAAAACACTTTTTATTCTCTAATTGGAAGGATCATAAGATTCATTTTAGTAAAGGTTGCAAAAACAGTTACCTATTCCACCTGAACGTATGCTCTAATCTGCCAACCAGACATCTCATGGTGCTGTGCAAAAGTTTCCCTTTTGTCCTATGGCATTATCTGTTCATCCCTGAGAAAGTGCTGTAATGGTTTCAGTCAGCATATTTGTTATCTACTATCACTGGTGAATTCTTGTAGATTTTATTGCATATGTTCTTTTGCTGTTGTCCTCAAATATCCAGTTAGGGCAGTAATGTCGGAAGGAGTTTAATAAAATGGAGACAGAAACCCTCAGTCATAGAATAAGGCTGACACATTCTAAAAATTGTGTAGTTAGTGGTAAAATAACCATGATGAGCTGCAGAATACGTAGAAAGTACAGTGTTTGGTTTTCTATCTGTTGCTTGGGATGAAAATTATGACTTAAAATCAATAGCATGTACATCGGCATTTTTTTCATTTCAGACTTTTATTTCTATTTTTATTGCATTACAGAAACTCAACTTACTGTATGAAAGTGTCCATTTCGCTGACGGTGGGTGAAAATGACACTGGACTCTGCTACAATTCAAAGATGAAATATTTTGAAAAAGCTGAACTTAGCAAAAGCAAGGAAATCTCATGTCCTGAAATAGAGGACTTTTTGTTTCCATTTAGGGAGCCTGAGATTCTGTGGTACAAGGTAAGGAATTCAAAAAGTTTTTGCTTTTCACCAGTATGCTGTCAATATTCTAATGATTTTCATGATCTAAATACTATGTGAAACTTTCACTGTTTTAGACTTTCTTAAGAGCAAGCAGAATGAAAGATACAAAAGAATGAGCTAGTCCCTCTTAGATGAAGAGGGACTCCGCTGCTTCCTTTGGTAAATTTTAGGGCTGCAAACAAGTATCTGGTAACAAAAGAGATAAAGAATAAAAGTGTTACAGATCCAGTTTGGCTTGATGTTAAAGAAAAGCCGTATGAGCTGCATATACAGCAACTGATTGTGCTGTATTAGAAGAAGCACTTAAGGATATTTCTGGAAACTTCAACATAAAATCTGTTTAGAAAAATGGGAATTGAATAACTGTGTGCACATTTGTCTGAATGAATGAGTTATTTAGCAGCATAAAACCCAAAACTTTTAAAAATTTGATCTGATATGTTAGAGTTTACTTGGAATTACCAGAGATTTGGTCATCAGTACCTTTATTTCAATATTGTGTTCTTATTATCAGATTGTTACTTAAGGGTCAAGTCCCAGGAAAGGTGTTGCCTGTTGATGGCTCACAAGAGCCTTGCAGAGCAGTCTCTTGAGTTCTGGATTTCTTGCAGTTAGCAGGAAATACTCAGTGCCTTTGTGCTATAATGCATACAATTTAACACCACTGAACAGTTTAGTAAATCTGAAAATTAGGTTATGTATATTGTGTAGCATGCTCTGTGTAGTAGAATGTTCTGGTACCACTATATGCTGATATGCATTCTAACTATGTTTTAAAAGTCTGATAATTCACTAAGTGTAGTGCACAAGCATGTGTTATCTAATAAACAAAAACTTGTAATCTAGAAAGTTTCTGGCTAAATTTACTAGCAGCATATCTAAGAGGTATGTAACCAACTATTCACTTATATTTATCTTGGATTCCATGTGTGTAATACAATACATACCTGAAGATGTATCAAATTTAAAACTGTATCTGGCTTCTAAAAATATCGCAAAAGATATTTGATTTTTACAAGTCATTTACAGCATTTATATGAACAAGTTGTAACATACTCTCATTTTGTTTAAATAAAAGGAGAAAATTTTCTTTGCAGTCTCTAGCTACTTGTGATATAATGGTCATGGATTACATACATAAACGTAATGGCAAATAATTAAATGAAATAGGAGACCCCCGATCAAAAATAAAAGCAAAACTACCAAATAAATAAAATCCTTTTCTTTTTTGTTTTGAGAATGAGAAAAACATGTTAGTTGATAAAATTTTCAGTATTTTTTTCTTTTAAAATTTTACTTAACTGAACTGTATTTTGAGATATTTAATGTACGTAAAGTTTGTAACTACTTCTTGTCTGGCTTTCCTTTCTTTGAGCAGCATTATCAACAGTGGTTCGAGTGTAAGAACATAGTCACTGAATTGTTATGTTATCTTTAAACAGGAATGCAAGTCAAAGACATGGAGATCAAGTATTGGGTTTATAAAGGACACTCTTGTCATTCGGGAAGTTAGAGAGGATGACATTGGAAATTACACTTGTGAGGTAAAATATGGCATCTTTGTTGTCAGAAGAACTACGGAATTAACAGTTACAGGTAATCACAGGCTCTTACTACATCTTATATGTAGAAAAAAATGTATAATTTTGTGATTAAACAAACCTAACCATTCTGTGATTCTGTAATTTGAGTTGTGTGTATTTGAATCATTCTACCTACATAAGCCATTCTTGTTCAAAACTTTGCTGAGTGTGTGAATGGCTGATACATCAAAGTTGTCCTGAACACAGTAATATGTGCAACGTGATTAAATCTGAATTTCGATCTACTGCAAAAACTTCTGAATAGGTCATGTTTTTGAGTGAGAAATGTGGATAAGGATAACCAAAAAATAAGATCATTAAAGTCATCATACTTTTCCTTGTGGTTAAAAGCCTTAGCACGTAAGAATCTCTGTAGCTCCAACCCAACTACAGCAGCTCTGATTGCCCTGGGGCATGACATGAGCTGTAGGTGTAAACCAATATCCCAGAAAGATCTGTGCAGCAAGATAGTATAAATGTGGGTGTAGCATTTTTTCACTGGTGTTCTTTCCCAGCTTTCTATGATTTATAATTCAAGGACTTCCTGATCTCAGTTGTCAATTAACTTATTTTCCATTAGTCCAGTTATTTTTTTAATTATTTATTCTCAGATTTAAAATTATTATGAGGTATCAAGTTCCAGTAATTATGTAACATAAATAAATTGTATCAACTCACAAGCAGCGACTGAATGAGATGCATTTAATATTATCTCCATTTAAGACTACCTTACCAATATGTAAAATCCTTTGTAGCTGAAAACAATGTATGTATCATAGTAGTAATGTGCACTACAGAATTATATGAAGAACATTAGCTTTTAAATTCCTTACTACACCACAAACCTCATTTTTTCAAACAGAGAAAGAGTATATGTGTATTTTTAAGTAAGGTAGAGAATTAACTTCTGGAATTATGGGATGGTATTGGAACACAGGAAAACATCACAGTCGATACAGCATAGTGAAGTTCTATAGAATCTTCCCTGAAAAAAGGGCAGAAAATGTATATGCCTGGGAAACTGAATGTGAAATAAATTTGTGTGGTTCACAAAGATGCTTGCAGATATAAGCACTTGCTTGAAGTATAAAAAAAAATAATAATAATAAAATAAAATAAAAAACCAGGAAACAAATCTTAGAGAAGGATTTTATGGGCTATTGTCGACTATTTAAACAGTTAAATTAGTAATCACAGTTATGATATGTAATAATTTCTTTGTATGGTAAAAAGTTTGCTTTTGTGGTGAAAAGTTTGCTCTTTGTTTTGATGTATCCCATTTACTCTACAATATCAGAAATTAAAGTGAATTATGGTTTGCAATTTTCTTCCATTAGATCAGTCTGGAAATCATATTGTTTATGTTGTTTTGAGAGAATTCTGGTGATCAATCATGTTTATTTAAGTTCAGTATCCAGGATCTCTTCATAATTTTTCCATTGTATGAAATTGATTTATTTCGTCAGTACAGACAGGCAATTACTGCTCAGTGATTAAGCTCATGGTAAACATCCATATCCATATAGAGTCCTCAAGAATTTGATTTACACCAGAATGAGGTAGTCAATTACTTCTGCAGTATATGATGTGTAGACCAAAAGAGTACATATTTTTTCAGTCTTCAAGTTAACCTTCTGTCTCTGCAATTGGTGCTCCACTGCCCAGCAGTATTTCAAGCAGACTTAAGTCTGAGAAAATGGAGGAAAAAAAAGCATTGCAACTAGATGTTGCTATCTGTAATAATAGGTTCAAAAAAATAATTCAGCCCTTGTGGTGTAGGTAGGAGTTCAGTGATTAATGTTTAACTAGGTAGAGACAGAAAGAGACTTGGCTGATTTTGATGTGTTAAAAATAAGTGAATGCATAATGAGAGAATTATATAGTTTCTATCATTGCATCCATTGCAAATCCTGGCAAATTTAGAGACAACCTCCACAGAAGTAAACTACTCAAATAGCATTGTAGTTCTTCATACCATTTTTATAATATTATGGGATGAACTGTATAGTAGGTTTTCCTCTGTAGTACAGATTTAGTAAAATTTAGTAAGTAACTTTATAGAAGAGATTCAGGCCTTACATGCTTGCCTTATGCTTTGTCTCTGTGCTGAAATACAATTTGAATTGCACTGGAAATACGTTGAGGAGTATACAGTATAAGTGGATTTTAAAATTTATTGAAGAAAGAAGAAAACTTGTTAATGGCAGCAATGCTGCACTAACATTTATAAATAATACACAGTATCTTCAAACATTGCATACCTGTTCCTTACCAAAAGTATACACTTAAATTCCATTCCAGAATATGATTTCTTCTTATCATATGCATCTTTCAGATTTTTTTTGTTATTGTTCTTTTTTGTTTGTTTGTTTGCTTGCTTTAGGATAAATCCTTTTTCTTTGCTTTTCGTTCTTTTGAAAATCAGAATCTCATATTGAAAATACATGATCATCTGTATGATTTAAATTAATTTTCTTATTATGCTATTACCTGATTTAGAAAATATCTAGCTTAAAAAATACAAACTATGCACTGATTATTCTAAATTCAAAGAAACAGCATAATTGGTGGTTCTTGGATTATGGCTATGTAATTACATATTTTAAAAAATCCTAAATGCACTAAAACATTTGTTGATATCTATACCTGCAGACTGCCCAACATTGCCCAAAAGAAAAATCTTTTTCTTTTATATGTGGAATTTTAATTAAAGCATACCTGACATTCTTAATTATGGGACAGGATCACATTTTAACAGCATGATATCAGTATTAATTTAGTCACACTGAACAACATAGGTAAAAATAATTTCCAACAGTGATTAATTTTCATTAAATGCTATGTCTAATAATACTGGATTTTTTTTTTAATTTATTTATTTATTTATTTATTTGTTACTTATACTGCTAAAACCTTCACAAGGACAAATTTTTGGTACATTTTCATTCAGGCGGAATGACGTCTGGTCTTTGTTTAAGAGTGTATGTGTCCTCATTGCAATGTCACACGGTGATACTCTTCTGGATGAATATGATAAAGCATTCTGACCCCATCAGCCTTACTTATTCAATTCATCCATAACTTTTTTGGTTATAAATATTTGAACTTTTTTTTTTTTTTTCATTCTGTTAGAAGTTAGAAGTTCTTATACCTTGTAGAAGGATTCAGAGCTAATCAGTAGATTCCTGTTCAGAGAAACCACTTACTGTGTTTGCTCATTGATTGCTCTTCTTCAACATATCTCCTTCTGGAATGAGCACAGATTTAGATTTAGAGGTTAGAGCATCTTCAAAATCTAATAACACTAAATTTAGTATGAGTTGATATGATCATTTTTTTATTATTTAAATTTTGCCTATTTGGTTTAAATATTTCTGTAACAACCTTGCAATTGCTAGTTAATTCTTTCCCATTTGCTATCTGTAACTTTCTTCTCTAGACTTTTAGACAAAGGAGTGCTATCTGTCTGCTTCACAGGATTTCTTAATGTTTGGGATTCGTTGCACAAGCTTTGCCTTTTTTGCTTTCTGACAGAATTATTCTTAGCATAGTAGAAAATCTTAAATGATGATAAATGTTTATTGCAAAATGCTTGTATTGATTGTTTCCAGTGCTGTTGTACTTTCTCCTTCAAAACATTCAGATACAGAAAAGGTGCTGTAATAAGCCTTTCCTTCTTTATTTTTAGCTGGTGCTAAGTGCAAAGAGCTAATAGGGTTGTTTTCCAAGCATTTAGAGCTTGAGAACAGACTCTGCTGGTTTTCTGCAGTTAATGATAGGGAAGAACTATTTTGGATGCACCGAGCCCCTCTTTGCTAGAGCTGATCCTAATAATTATCAGAGCTGATGTTCATTCCTTTTGTTCATCATAAATTTAATTCAACTCTAGAACATATTCAGGGTGAAATTCTATTTATCAGTATTATTCTGTGCAAAGACCATATAAAATATAAAGCAAACAACAGATTCATTATGAAAGCATCATGTTTGAAATACTGACCCTGCATTTTTATAATACATAAAGTCCTGTTGGGCTTAACAGGTTGGGTGGGTTAGGTGTTGGGTTTTTTAATTAGAAATGAGTGATCTACTTTTATAGTGGAATCATTTTTGTGTGGCTGAGAACAAGGTTCTAAATTAATCACCTGGGTGCATTTGAGTAATAACAATCAGAATATTTGATTAAAACATTCTCTGTAAACATTCATTTAAGTTATTGATTGTAAATGGGTTTAGTGGGTATTTCAAAACCATCCTTAACTAACAACAGCAACAAGGAAAGCTATATGGGTAAAGCTAATTCATGCATAATACACCTTCTATAGCATTTTTCATTGTAGCTTTATTTTTCAACTTTTTATAAAAATAAAAAATTCCTTCAGGATATGGCTAGGATTGCTAGCTCTCCTTATACAAGTTTATTTTAATGTGTATTTCCCTTACAATAACCCAGGACTTCTTTTCTGCCTGGTAGGGTATCTTCAGAAGAAAAGATCAACCTCTTGTGGCTTTTTTATTTATTTTTGATGGTATAGCTATAGGTCAGTAGCTATAAAATTCTAATATATAGTAGAAATCTTTGTCTTTACCACATTAAAGTAAGATTCAGCCTTAAGATACTCATTTTAACCGTCCTTGTTCTTGTGCATCATGATCCTACGTTTATCTCATAGTGTTAATGAATGGAAAACATATCTAAGCTTTGTAATATTTGCTTAGACAGTTGCTATGACACTATTTAATTCATGCTGCAGTCATGACTTCTGTTCCATTACTGTCATGTACACCCTACTGAAATCAGTGAAAGTTGAGAGGAGTTTTTAGCATGCATTCATTGATAAATTCTTCTTATTTGATGATGAAAACAAACAATTAATTAAAATTAGCTACTATTTAACAAGTATAGTGTGCTCCTGTGTATACAATTGCTACAATGATGCCATTTCTGCTTATTTCTGTTCGTTATGTCATTATTAGAAACCTGGTGACTTTTTAATAATTTATATTGAATTA